TATATATATATATATATATATATATGTGTGTGTGTGTGTGTGTGTGTGTGTGTGAGAGAGAGAGAGAGAGTGCGTGTATGTATGTGCGTGTGTAAGCGCTGAATCATTATAGGATTGTAAAATATCCCAAGGTTCTTATGCAATATTTATTTTAAAAAGTGATGAAAATTTGAACAGTTTTGATCACATTGTGCAACAAAATTTTTAGTCTTTTGTAAGTAAGTGTTATTTTTTAATTGCTTCTATCTCTTCAGCAACGAATTATTTCCTTTAAATTTTGCTTTTTTGGCCTGGAAATTGTTGTCTGAAATTAACCTATTTTTCTTTACATTCCAAACAAATTCATCGCTAATTTGGTGAATGAAAATTTTCTAGAACATTCTGGAACATTCTGGCTCTCAACTATCGTTTGGAGACCATATTTGAGGTCTGATTCATGAAAATGATTTACAGCATGAAGGGAAATCGGGGAAAAAATACCTCAATTTTTTATGGTCTCCCTTGTGTCTTGTTTTAGAAGAAATAATTGCTACTTTGGAATCATGTAATCCATTTCTTCGTACGTTGCGTTATTGAGAATGTTGACTTTCGTCAGTCTTCCAAATGGTAATAGGTAAATTTAAGAAATATCATTATCCTGATGATAAAAGTAAGTTTGTAGAAAATATTAGCCATTTTTCATACTTCCGACGTAAGAAAACAGGAAATAACATTTGCTATACAAGAAATATAATCGTCTTACAGAGTATTATACTAATAACCAGCGGAAATTTTGGTTTTCCCATATTTTTTTATTAATCATTTCAGCCTAGATATCGAAGCCAGAAAACCGCAAGAGGTTACAGTGTGTGAAGGAATGAGTAAAGATAAACATTTTCTTTTATTTTTAAGGTGGGACTACAATAAATGTAGAACTCTTTTGGAAGACTGGAGAGAACGATTGACCCTGCATTTCAGTTTTTGAAGTTAGCTGAAAAGCTGGTAACTGGAAGAGAGTTCAACAAACGAGAAATGAGGGGTAACGTTTTTTAGCACAGAACTTACGCTTTCATCTAGCAAAATAAACTTGAAATTGCTGAAAACTTGATTCCATTGCATAAGGACTAGATATCATATCGGAAAGTTCTTCCGATTAATTATCATGCAATTATTTGTATAATAGTCAAATACAAAATACATGAAAGATTTGAGAATGTGACTGAAACCGAGACAACAGGTCAGAACGAAGAGTATTGCCGAATCTAGTTGGATTTTATCAACAATTTATAAATATATATCAGAAGCAACGGAACATATATGGTAGAAACAATTTAAGCGGATTTATTTGCCGGTGATTGTTAGCATTATCTATCTGAATTACGTCCTGGGCAATTACAAAATAATCTCACTGGAGGTAGCTACGTAAAGTCATGTGATTGTCAGTAATCAAATCAGTACAAAAATTAACCATAGAGGATTATAATTATTAAATTGAAATCTTTGAATGCAACAGGGCACTGGCGAAAAGATGTACAAAGAAATATCTTATAAACGAAATGGAAAAGAAAAAAAAGAGTAGAAATTTAATAATGTAGATGAAAGTGGAGGCAGTGTTATTAAAGAACACTGAACTGAATAAGGCATGAGAATGTGACATCGGATGTGTTAAGATTAGGTTGAGAGAGAGTAATGTTAAAATCTAGGTACAATATAATATTGAAATGACAGGGAAAATATCTATATAAAAACTAAAGCGAAATTAACTAATCAAAATTGAGAGCTACATTCAATGATTCAAAATGAATTTGTAAAATGCACATTACCTATTTATGCCTACAACATGGCCGACACTGTTAATCATAACTCCGCACTGTAGTTCATTCTTTCCAACGCTGTATAGAGTAGAGAGACCAGGCTGCTCCGTAATATTTATTTAGTTTGATTGGCAGAAATAATGTATTCATACCTTACCAAAATATATCTCTTTGAAAGCAAGCGTCCTTGGTAAGACGATAAAATACATCCGCGTCCGATAAATTACGGTCAAGAGCAAGGTCTCTGAAAAAGAGGTTTTGAAGACCGTGGAACAACCTTTATTTGCTGGTCTTCCCAGGTCCACCCAGTAGCACCAGTTAAAGTCCCGACTCTGGTCAAATAGTTAACCCCCCTCCAAAAATTGTAGTTAAATTACTATGAAAATGTAAAAATAGTTTTAATGCCAACAATAAATTTTTCAAGAAAAAATATTACCAGTAATACATTTTCGAAAAAAATTACCCGCAATACTTTTTTGGAAGAAAAAATATTACCAACAATACATTTTGAAAAAATCACCAGCAATGAAAATCTTGTCGAAATTAAATAAACCACTGTGGTTGATATGCTGCATAACAAAACCAATCAAACCAAACTTTGAAAGAAAATGTAACTATCTTGAAAGAAAATTCTAACTGTATTCAGCGATTTCTAACTATGAGCAGATAAACATTATGTTAACTGTAATTTCTTTTGATGAATATATATTACATAGAAGTAAAAGGGTAGGAAAGTGTAAAAACGACAAAGGCGCAATCATTTAGGGGAACAACAAGAACAAAAATATAAAAAAAGAAAGAAATTCTTCAGGAGACTTATAAACGGAAAGAGAATATATGAAAGCATGAGTATGCATTGGACATGTGAAATAAATGGTTCTTTTATTGTTTTGTTGAAACTTGACTAATGCATGGAATAATAATGCAACAGAAAATGTACTTAGAACAAAATGTATTGAAACAAGAAAGTGTACACAATATTTACATATAGTCTTTTGTATATTCCTGGTAAGACCGTTCCTGGAGAATGTGTTGACTGAGTCGCAGTCGGACAGAGTCTCTGGTTGAATCTCTTGGTTCCTCCCTCTCTTCCCGGTACCAACCATATTTATATGGTCGGTACTCCATTATGCAATTTAGGTGGATCCTACCACAACAGTTTGAAACCAAAACAAATACACCGCTAACAACGATATAAAACGGAAAGTAATCAAAACACAGAAAAAGTAACATATATCAAAAAATCTATCGTACATGTCTATAAGTACAGCATTCGTCCATGCTTAGAATATTGCTGACATATTTGGTCCAGTGCTCCCGCTAATTAGCGAGAGATCCTTGATAAAATCCAAAGAAGAAACAGCAATAATATTATCCCTGTTCTGGCGTCTCAGATTCAGTCTCTTTACCAGTGCCATAACGTTATCTCCTTGTGCGTTTTCGATAAATGCTTACATTGTAATTGTTCGGATGAGCACTTTGTCTAGACTCTTTGATTTTAAGCGAGATACTCAATACGCGAGCATTCCTCAATTTACAGATGAGTTGGTTCGATGTCCCCGTAAATTCTATGCTACCACTTACTTTGCTCGCACTTCTCGCTTGTGGAACTTCCTTCCGATTCCATGCCTTTAAACCAGCTTTAATCTGCAAAAACATACATTCAATAACAATCACTATCTACTTTTTCTCCAGATTCTTCTTTCGTTTTTCCTCTCGGGCAACGTAACTAAATTGATTTGGGGTAAAATTGATTATATATATATATATATATATATATATATATATATATATATATAGATAGATAGATAGATAGATAGATAGATAGATAGAAAGAGACTGAATACCACATAGACTGTTTTTAAAGAAATAATACAGAAGCAAACACAATGGAACAGAGCAGTAATGCAAACGGTATTGTAAAAGAAGTCGGGATCGACTATATATACAAATATGGTAAGCACCAAAAAAGTATATGACACCTAACATCAAACCGTATATGACACTTAATTAATTTAACATACAAAATTATCATCTGCCACAAAGACTTGATCTAATCATCCATTAAGAAGAAATGTCTCTTAAATATTAAACAATGTTGCGCCAGCGAACCAGAGAATATGAAATCGCCAATCAGAGGATACGAAATCGCCATTGAATCAGAAAGTATGAAATCTGTAAAGCATAAAAGGTTTATTGGTGTCCTAAATTGTAAATCCACCTGAAATCGTAGTAAAAACACTTAAATCAAGATTGGATTGAATAGAAATATGTGTTTGGCATTTGTGAACAACTGCAATCTCAAGCGATCACCAAGAGATATGAAATAGAATGGCGCAAAAGTATACGCTATAAACAATTGGTGAATACTATCATCCTTGACGTAGATTTGTTTATCACTGAAAAACCAAAAGATTGAGTTGAAAAATCGATTCATTTACATAATTAAATACCTAGTCATGTAGAGAATTTTATATCGACGCCATTTATAATGCCCAAAGCCTACAACTGATTTCTCAGATGAATAGTTAAAAAAGGATTTAAGCGAGAGAAATCTGGGGTCTTGGCGAAGGCAATTCTTCTTCGAAACGTGAATTGGCGCTAAAATTAAAAAAAACAGAAATGCACCAAATAAGAGAAAGAGACTTACTTGAGGACTTTCAACAAATGAAAGAATTAAAAATTGTATCACATATAACTGGAAGATAAAACATTGATATAATCAAGATGTTGGCATTCCACACTAATTCAAACAAAAGGTTAGGAAGGAAAAACCCATGAATACTGGAAAAAAAACGATAACAGCTAGAGATATTGAGAAAAGTATTTTCCGGAAATTTTTTTAAGAGAAAGATTTTATAAATCCAATTGATAGTATTACGCGCAGTTCGCTTAATGAACACCGAATATTTCCTTATAAGGAAACGGCTAATATTAACATTACTCTTACAATAGTAACAACTGATAGTATTTAAAACATTGCAGCAAGATAGGAAAAGGTTTCAAGAGAAGTTTTCTGCTTAAAAGATACTTACTGTCAATTTTCTCTTACTTCTGACTGAAAAATCTGTGACTTAACAACAACAACAACAATAATAATAATAATAATAATAATAATAAATCACAATAGGTCTTGTGATATTTTGATTGGCTGCCATCATAAACAACAGTTTTGTTTACTCCTATAATATTTGGAATATTTCTGAGTTTTCTTCGCTTCCAAGAAATGATAATATTTACAGAGATTTTGTTTTTCTTTCTCTCTACTCACATTTTCTTTCCTTTTTTTTAAGTCAGTCGATAAGTTTGGTATTCGTCTTCAGCTGACATAAGACTGAGATACAAATTTTTCAGTCTGTACTTAAGGCGATCAGAAAATTTCCCATTCAAAGCAATTTTTTTCAAAAAGGATAAGACAGATGTGAAAAGAAGTCAAAAATATTTCCAAGTACTAAATCATCGGAGCGAGTTATTGAGAACTGTAGCATGTACTTACCTTCTGATCGGTGGATGCAATCAAAATAAACAAGCACACACGTACATGCTTTCACACATAGACGCTTGTGTGTGTGTGTGTGTGTGTGTGTGTGTGTGTGTGTGTGTGTGTGTGTGTGCGTGCGCGCGCGCGAGTACGTTCTTGGGGGTGTACCTCGGTTTAAATAGATTTATAAAATATCCCAAAACTAATTATTTTCGAAATGTATTTAAAATAATTATTTTTTTTTCAACTTATTATCCTTCATTTAAATTGCCCGCACACGCACGCACACACACACACACACACACACACACACACACACACACACACACACACACACACATATATATATATATATACATTTATATGTATGTATATCAAATATGTGGTGCTGTTCGATTTATATTACATTTTATATCATTAAATTTACTAATCTACTTGTAGGAATTAATCATTGTAATATATATATAAATATATATATATTTATAGGCACACTCATATATATATATATATATATATATATATATATATATATATATATATATATATATATATATATATACCTTTATATCTATTTTATCCAAATAATCAACACATCATAATTAAACTACATATTCGTTAGGAAAAGCAAATTACAACTGCTTTCACAGATTTTCATCAGGCTGGATTAAAACTTCTAATCAAAATTAAAATTAAGATGTGCAAATATTTAAACTTATTGTCTATTTTTTCATATGGTTATTTTGTATAAATCAAAATGACATGTGTTAATAATAAAATCAAACAATACAAAACACATCATGTATATGAAAATTAGTTAGATACTAAATTTAAAATATTATTACAATGATCAAAAAACCTTGAAGCTTATAAAAAGTTGAAACATAATGATGAAGAAAACTGCAAAATTTCAAATGATTTGGAATATATTTCAAATCAAATTATTTATAAATGTAAGCTGGATTAAAACTCTGCAAAAACAAAAGAAGTAGACAAGTTCGGCAAAAATTAAGATGTGCATACGTCTACAAAAAAAAATCATTGTTTATGCAACTAGATCTTTTTGGGAGGAAAAAAATGTGGTATATATGAGGAGCTCCTAAGACGGCTTTTGAAGAGGAGTATATAATACCAACCATTAAACATGGCGGTGACAGTATAATGACTTGGGGGTGTTTTGCTGCAGCTAGAAGAGGAAAAATAATATAAATTTGACAGCAATTTTGAACGAAATATTCTTTTCTTCACTTCAAACGCGTGGTTTAAGGTGGGCTAGAACTTCCAAAGGACAATGATCGGAATCATCCAAGCAAATCCACAAAAGAATGGGTTTGTAAGAAGAAATTTCGATTTAGTCAAATTCCTGATGTAAAGCAAATTGAAAATCTATGCATGCAAGAAACCAAGATAATACTGAGCAATTGTTGGAATTTTGCCAAGAAGAATGGTCAAAAACGGCACTATTTTCTGCCAGAAAGATGCAGTCACCAAATAGTAAATGCAATTTTTTTAAAAAGTGGTTCTAATTGACTAAATAATGTGTGTTTTTTTTTTTTAACCAATCATAGTTTAAATGGAAAAAGACAATACTTTTAGATATTATCTTAGGGACATTTCCTTTATATAGAATATATAGATATTTAAATATATATAAATATATTATTCATGTACATCGTCATCTAAAATGCTGACATGTATATTACCAAAATACAAAAAAAATATTTTGAGCAAATTCATTCAATAAAATCGCCATTGGCTTATAAATCCAGGCGACTTCTTGGATGCAACAGTTCAGGAAACCTTGTTTAATCGGATGAATGACCATAGTCCTGCAAAATGATCGTTCTCAAAATGATTTGGAATATATCGTTACTCAACCGTGACTAACTGCAACGGCTGGGTTCTCAAATTCTTTTAAAAATGTAAGGCATTTGGTGCTGATTGATGTCTGCCTCCATCACAATCAAAATCCAAACAGCCGTCTCCATTAAAAACAAAATAGGAAGCCATCACCCAAACAGACATCCAGTTCAGCCAGAATGGCCATTGTTTTCTATATTTCTGTGGAAAAATGTTGCTTTTTCTCAGGGACGGTGCCGAACTAACCCGTTTATCTGTGAATTCAAAATAAAAAGTAAATAATGTGTATGAGCGAAATTATAATATAAAATAGCTGCAACTTACCAGTCATATTTAGGGAGGTATATAAAAAATATATATATATATATATATATATATATATAAGATGTATCAAATACTTTTAGAAACGCGCGGACCCTCTAAGACGAAGTGCGAAGACATCCGCGAAATTTTGGAGAATATATGACCCTAACAGACTGTATATAATACACAACCATTAATTGATGCTGAATCTCGTCTGTATTGGCGGTGACAAACGTTTGTTGTATATATTTATTATTCCATCTCTTCCAAATGACTTAAACAAGACTGTAGAGACAAACAAACAAATCGGTTTTGCTGCGATAGCTATTCAAAAACATAGGAAAAATATATATATATATATATATATATATATATATATATATATATATATATATAAAGAATTAACATTTATTTTTAGACTGAACAATTTTAAATGAACGAAATAAATTCTTTTCTATCTCCTCATATATATATATATATATATATATATATATATATATTTGATGGTCCTTTTTAAAATTGTAATGGTACCTTAAAGTGGTATGTTTTCATTAAATATTAGATCTGTATTCACATTGAAAGGATTCCACAATTGATTCTATTTACCAAGTTCTTCATAACTTAATTATATATATATATATATATATATATATATATATATACAAATAGATATGGGTTTGTATATATATATATATTCAAAAAGTAATTTTTTAAAAAAGTCAAATTTTTGTTCATGTTTATTGTTATCTTAATATAGATGACAAATTGAAAATCATATATACGATCCCTCGTCAGGATATTTAAATCATTCCAAGATAAATACTGATCAAATTTATATTTTTCAAATTTTGTTTTATATATATATATATATGCCAAGAATAGCATATAGATGAACCACGGGTTCTAAAAAAAAGGAAAACGTATTTTCTTCACCAGAAATGGAAGGACAAGGGAATCAACGAAGAACAGTCGATGGATTTCAAAATTAAAATTTATTTATAAAATATGTAACGCAATTTTTAACAAAAAGTAAAGAATAGAAGGCGCGAGCGAGTATATTGAAAACTGCCAAAAAGAACCAACTTATGCAGTCGGGCTGGTATCTTTTTTGATTCGCCGAAGCAAGTTCATAGATTTAATGTTCCGGATTCTTCTTTTTAAAAGTGTTCGTGGGTGTTCATTGGTTATCTGGAAAAAGACAAGTGGGCGGTTGACGGTTTTTGCCCAGCGATGTTCAATTGCTGCTGGTCAGAGGAAACTGAAAAATCCTTCTTTTGTTTTTCGCAGTTCCACAGAGACGTGGGTTCCTTCGTCCTGACCGGGTACGCAGGAGAATAGGGCAAATCACGCAGTGTTTGTGTGATGGCCAATATATATATATAGGAGACCCTGATGGCATACTTCAAACGCGTACATCTAAGTTCATCTAAGGAGAGAAAAATTATGATCATAGACATGTATGATTACCAAAATTAGCCCAACGCCTAAAAAAATGAAATTTGAAACAAAAAAGAAAATAAACGGCAGTTTTCTAAAAAAGAAAAGAGATTGTTTTCGTCCCCGTTTGATCCTCAAAGCTTATCGATTCAATAAAATCGCGATTGGCTTCGTATTTTGTGATGGCCTCAGCGTCGGCGTATTTCTTCATTTTCCTGAGGAAGGTTAGTGGGTGGTCAGTAGGCCTGCAACACATACAGGAAGGTCTTCCTTGTTTAATCGGATTTTTGAATAACTGACCGGTGTTCATACCATTTGCATCGGTCCTTGCGCCAATGCCAGATTATCTTTGGGGTTGCAAAGTGTTTTCTTGATCGTTCGCTCAAATACGCACCGCATAGATTAATAAGGAATTTTTTGCGATCGTCGGAGATACTTAACTATAGAACGAAGACAACGTGTCCGAGATACGTGTTTGCAGAAAGATTGACTAACTTAAATCCGGAAGGGTTCTCATTCTTGTGTGGCATGGTGCAGTGACTTGTTGCCAAAATTCTGCTGGAAGGTGTCTTGCAGCTAAAAGGCATCCGCACGCCCATCCGGGAGTCAGGGAAACAGAACACCTAGGCACACACCAATAACCCTTCAACAAACTGATTGATGTCTGCCTCTCCATCCTGGGTGGGTTAACTCTCTCTGTGGTTAGATCGAATGCAAAACCGAACTGGGCCGTCAGGTTTGTTGACATCAGTAGTGAAAAATCCAAACATCATCGTAATCTCCATTAAACACATCCAACATTTCCAAATCCTATGCACCGTACTCAGATTAATACCCAAACACGCTTAAATATTCATACAGGGTGGTCTTTCCCGTTCCAGCCAGAATATGCAAGCATTAAAAAAGCCTTCCGTTTCTATATTTCTTCAGGGAGGAAATTTGTGACATGAAATTTTGCGACTTTTCTCGGTCGGGACGGTGCCGAAACTAACCCGTTTATACTGTCAGGTTCGTGAAAATTCAATTCAGCAAATTTCTGTACGGGTCTTCCCGCAAAAATAAAAATGTAAATTTAAATTCTGTTCGAACCCCAACGATTGTACGGATTGAGCGAAATTAGAAATATCGTCCCAAAATGGTCCTGCAACTTACCAGTCATATGGGATGATAGGCGCTTGACCTAATGGATTTATATATATATATATATATATATATAAGATGTAAAAAAACAAGGGCCTTTTATTTTCCT